GTTTCGCCAGACGTCATCGAGGACCGGCTACAAGGATAAACGCGATCGAGCTCGCGCCGTTCATGATGCCTCGATTGATCAGGACGAACCCGCCGATGAAGACGACGAGGAGTACGCCGCCGATGCGGTAGAGCACGAGGCCTTAGTCACGCACCTCTCGCCTGACGAGCTGCAGCAGCGCGTGGCCGCCTTCAAGAGCAGGGTCGCCACCAGCGACAAGGGGGCCCCTCACGTTCGATTTCAGGCAGCGCCAGAAGTGCGTCAGTTTTCCGTGGATTCTCGCGGAGCTCAGGCGGCGAGAAGCGGGACAAAATCATCGCATCAGGTCGACGTCTTCTGGCATGTCCGGACGCCCTTGGACGTTTGCTTCCTCGAGGATTCCCAGGGTTTCTACATTGTCATCGACACAGGTTGCCAGCGCAACGTTGTGGGCTACGAGTGTTTGGGAAAGTTTCTGGAACATATCGCCTACCTGGGATTGAGTTTCTGGGAAGCTGAGGAGCAAGAGAGGTTTCGGTTTGGAGTCAGTCGTGCGGTGAGCAAATCTGTGGTGTATTTCCCGATATGTCTTGAACATATGGTGCCCCTGGTTTGCCGTACCTCAGTCTTGGACGTGAACCCTAAGTTGCCTTTCTTGGGATCGTTACCGATGTGGAAGCTCTTGGGCCTCCAGCTGGACACCTTGGGGGAAAGGGCTCATTTCACCAAGATCAACCTGTACGACGTGCCCCTGAAGATTGCCCCGAATGGCCACTTGCTTCTGAGAGTCGACTCTTGGTTGAAGGATGCGGGGTTCCCCAGGGAGCCCGAGGCCTGGAAGTTCACCCCCTCGGACGTCATCATCCCGGAGCCCCAGTGGATCCCAGAGGCACCAGCCTGTGTTTCCGGAGATAGTTGTGCTCAAGCCGAGTCTCAGCCTATGCAGTTTTCACGCGCAGCACTGTGTGCTCTTACATATACTCACCGCGGGCTGCTTCAGCCTCGCGAAGTCCTTCCCTCCGTGCCAGACGGCTGTAACCTGACCGACGCCACACCCGTGTTCGAGAGCATCCTCGGTCTGTCGGTGAATGAAGTCGGTCAAGTCGGAGTCGCAGGAGGCCCGATCGTCTCGTCACACAGTCCAGCTGACGAGGCAGAACCTGGCGATCAACGCGTGGACGAACCTGATGCAGCTGATCATGAACCACCTGTCGCACATCATCGGTCGCAGTCGCGAGCAGTTCCGGCAGAACATGGAGATGTCGAACCGGATGATGGGCACGATCGCGCAGATGGGCCACGAGATGGGCTACCTGACACCGATGGCGGACTCAGTAAAGGCGATCGCGAGAGGAGCCGCACAGGTTCCGGAGAGCGTGCTGCCACCGCCGCCGGCACCGGAGGATCAAGCCCAGAACTACTCACAGCTGCGCGAGAAGAGGGACGTGTGCGCCCATCCGACAACGAGGAGGTACTACGCCAAGGGGTACTGGCTGATCTGCGACCAGTGCGGCCGGCGGTGGAAGTCGGTCAACGGGAAGTGGATCGTGGACGACAAAGAAGATCCTCTTCGCGTACCTACCTCGACAAAGTCATTGGGTTCCTCCTCGCGCTCACGGCCAGCTGCTTCAACAATGCCGAAACGCCCGGTCAAGTCTTCGGCGAGCTCGAGCCAGGGTCGTACGCGGACCAAGGCGGAGCCAAGGTCACCCTCGGAGCAGGCGGTTCCGACGGACGAGGAGGACGACGAGAACATGGACAGGACCTCCGGGGGCGAGGAGACGGACCAGGGATGGGACAAGCTTCCGCGCCAGCCTCCCCCGCGTCGGGGACCGAGATGGTGAAGAGAGGCGCCTGGAAGCGCCTTCTCGGCATTGCTAAGAAGACGACCACAGCCTGCGAGGCGCTTATTAACGTGAGTCAAGATGCCGATCGCCGAGCTGCCGATTTACGAGACGCGGAATGGTGCTGTTCGGACGTGGCCTTCATGGACATTCCCGTTCCCGAGTTGCCCGACCACCTGTACCTGGACAACGAGTGCCAGGCGTGCGGCACCGACCTCATCGAGGGCTGCGCCGGGACAGCAAGACCTACGCGATTAGCTTCACGCTTTGAGCTGAGGGCCTCGCCGAGCGCCGACATAGAGGACGGCTGGGACTTGTCAACTACGCGAGGTGCTCAGAGATGGAAAGATCAGATACAGAAAGACAAGCCCCTCTACGTGATCGTAGGCTTCCCCTGCACGCTCTGGTGCTCCTACAACGTCAATGTGAATTACGTCGATCATCCCGAGCTGCTTGAGAGACTTCGTGCCCGGGATCGACGGCTGATTGACTTGATCAAGTGGACCATCAAGTACCAGGTGAAGCATAGCCGGTTCTTCTTGTTCGAGAACCCGCCGACGTCAGCGATCTGGAAGGACCTCCAGTTCGCCCCGCTCCTGCCCTTGGGCGAGACCGTTATTGGCCATGGGTGCCAGTACGGGAAGACAGGCAAGACTGGCCTGCCGATTCGCAAGGCGTATCGCTGGTTCTCCAACTCGCCGCCCGTGCTTGCGGCTCTGAGCCGCCGCTGCCCAGGACTTCGTCCGGAGTCCGGGGGCCACTTGCACGATCAGATCGAGAACTCGAAGTGGACAAAGGCCAGCGGCGAGTACACCGACGAGATGGCCCACGCGATGCTCCACGCGATCCAGCAGGTCGCAGCCCAGAGGAATCCGAGCAGGTTCGCCGACATGCCGGTCGCGGCTACCGAGTGGGAGGTCGCCTACAACCACGCAGGCCCCATCGAGGTGCTGTTCGCCTCGCCAGAGAAGGACCCCACCAGGTGGGAGGCGGTCATGCAGGGCGTCCGACAGATCGTGGGCGGCTCCGCCAGCCGAGGCGGGAACAAGGCCACGCATTACCTTTCGAAGTCATCCACGCTCTGGAGACAGATTAGCCAGCTCGTCCCGTGGGACCTCACGATGATCCAGATCGTGAAGACAGCCAAGCAAAGGAGGTTCCCCATCAACAAGGAGCCGTGGTCTCACCGTGGTCACTGCTACGTGGACGAGAAGGGCCATTACCATATCGAAGCCGAGGACCTGGTTGACGTGGCCTTCCCGACGTTGGCCTTGTCGCCGCCAGCGGACCTAGCCGTTTTCTTCTTCGGCTATGCCAAGCAGGAGTCCCTCCCGCAGGAGCCTGACACGTCACAGATAGAGAAGCGAATGCCGCTTCCCCCGGACCCGAACGACCCGATGCTGCCGAACAACAGCCTGCCGCCCGACGAGGACGACGACCTGCAGGACGTCCCGATCGCTCGGATGCCTGACGCGTCCGGCGGTATGGCTGGCATAACTTTCGCTGGAGTGACAAAGGAGCAGTGTCCTCGTGAAGTTCGCCAGCTTGTCGCTCGTATGCACTGTAACTTGGGACATCCTGTGCACAGCGAGTTCTTCCAGTTCCTGGCTCAGAGAGGCGCCTCGCAGGCCACGCTGCTGTGCGCCAGAGCGCTGAGGTGCCCGGCGTGCCTTCGTCGCAAACGGCCTCAGCGACAGCGGGAGTCACAGATTCCAAGAGTGGGTCTGTTGAACGACTTAGTCAAGGGCGACTTGTTCTACGTCATGACCCACGACGGTACGACGCACGCACTCTTGGGACTGGTGGACAAAGCTACGAGACTACATGTGGTGTGTCGGATTGCTTCACGCGAACCAGGAGACGTCTGGGAGAAGTTCCAGACGTGCTGGCTCACCCCGTTCGGGATCATGTAGATTCTGGTTGTCGACCGGGACGGTGCCTTCGAAGCCGTGTTCCTGGACAACTGCCACACGTTGGGAATCGACGTGAGGTACGTGCCGCCGGGAGCTCACTGGCAGCTGGGCCTGGCCGAATCCGGCAACTACGCCTGGCGCCGAGTCTTCGAGAAGGTGATCGACGTCATCCTGCCGACGATGCCAGAGCACGTGGACCTCGCGATCATCTCGACGAGCCACGCCGTAAACCAGTCAGTGCGCCGAGCAGGCCGCACCGCCTACGCCGCCGCCTTCGGGCGGGTACCCACACTTCCGACCGAGCTCTTGGCCGACACCACGTCCGCCGAGTTCTGGCACAATTGCACCCAGGATGAGATGCTGGCCTACGGGGAGAGATGCCGCATTGAGGCGCTCAAGGCGATCGCCGACCTGGAGGCCGACGAGGCGCTGCGCACCTCCATCTTCCGCCAGCCTGTCAACCGCAAGGAGTACGACTTCCTCTCGGGACAGCGCGTGGCAGCCTGGGGCGAGCATGGTCGCAAGCGACGGGGCAAGACGCCCGTGGCTGGGTATCGCCCAGGCATTTTCTGTTTCTGGGATTCCGGCACCAACGGCTACGGCGAGGGCGAGTCTGCCTGGCTGCGGATCGGGCACCGCACTGTGCAGGTGGCCCGCGAACACATACGCCCAGCCGTCGGTTTCGAGGGCTGGACCCCTTCAGAGGAGGACCTCAAGGAGCTCAAGACGGCCGAGCAGGACTTGGCGAAGGCCGGCCAGGGCGACGCTTCGAACATCACCATTGAGGGCCCTCCTGAACAACAACCCGAACCAGAAGATCCGCAAGCACGAGTGCTGCCGGGACCTCTTCCGGCAGCCCCGCTCGAGCCCATCCTGGAGGAGCCCGCACAGGCCTCTCTGGGAGACAACGCTACCAAAGAGAACTTCAGGAGCGCGTCAGCCGACGACGCCCCTGAAGCTGCGCCAGATGCTGAACTTCCTCAACTTGCCGACGCATCGGAGCCTCCGACGCCGACAGGCCAGAGCGGTACCCGGCGTCGAGCCCAGCGTCGAGCCGAAGGCGAAGCTCCAGAGCCCGCTGCGCCCTTTCCGTGGCCAGCGCCGCCTCAGTTTGGACCAGTCCGAGCACGAGAGCGCTCTGCGACGCCCACGCCGAGGAGATCAGCACCTCATACCCGCGAGTCGTCCGCAGCTCGACCACCATCGAGCGGTTCGGCACCTTCGACGGTTATCGCACCACCACCGGAGAAGAAACCCCGACCAGGAAAGCTTCCTCACATACCGGGCTCACCGAGCCCAGCAGCCTTCGTGTCCAACGAGTCGGACGAGATGGAGTTCATCACACCGGATGGCTGGGACGGAGTCGAGGAGCCAGTCCTGCTCAGGACCCGCGTGTTCTCGAGCCTGGCGGAGGTCCAGGAGGCCTACGAGGCGCACCTCTTGCCCATCGAGGACTTCGAGAACGACCCGATCGACGACAGCGAGCCGGACGACGACTGGACAAACTGCCTGTACATGACCTACCACGAGCTCTCCGACCTCAGGCACGGCGAGATGGACGTGGACTGTGCGACAGCACAGGTGGGCGACACGACGGACTCGAACAACCTGTCGAGACGCGAGCAGCGTCAACTGGATCGTGAAATCCCCTGGCGGGAGATCGCAGAGTACCCGGAGGACCAGTTCATGGAGTACGTCAAGGCCTTGCGCAAGGAGTGCCAGAACTGGGACACCTGGAAGTCCGTTCGGGCCTGCTCGCAGGAGGAGGCCGAACAAGTTCGTCGTGACCCTCATCTCCGCAAACGGTGCAACCGCTCGCGCGTGTGCTACCGGGACAAGAACTTGGGGTTTCCGCCGTTGAAGGCCAAGGCTCGCCCGGTGTTGCTGGGGTTCTCCGACCCCGACCTGGAGAAGTTGCCGCGCAACGCCCCGGTGCTGACCGACGCCGGCAAGAAGCTGATCTGCCAGATCGCGGTCTCGAATGACTGGCGAGTCGGGACCGGAGACGCGGAGAGCGCCTTTCTCCAGGGAGGCGCACAGAGTGAGCGCGAGGAGGCGATCTACATGATTCCGCCCAAGGACCCGATAGTTCAAGCCGCCGGAGTCTACACCGCCCCGCTCTACGAGGTGGTTGGCAACCTGTACGGTCAGTCGACGGCGCCGTACCTGTGGTACAAGCACGTGGTGACGACCTTCCTGGCGCTGGGCAGCAAGCTCCACAGCCTCGATTCAGCTCTCTTCTTGTGGTTTTTTTCCGAACAATGAGTTGGCTTGCGCAGTGGGTATGCACGTGGACGATGCTCTTGCGGCACACCATCCCAAGTTCGACTTCACACCGATCGAGAAGGCTATTAAATGGCGAGGCTGGCAGTGGGACAACTTCGTCTTCCTCGGCGAGGAGTACCAGCGCCTACGTCAAGGTCCGTACAGTGGAAGTTTGTTTGTTCATCAAGCGGCCTACACTAAGGCGGTTGCAGTCACGAAGGTTGGAGTTATGTCCAGCACTCGGTCTTCTTCTAAGCTGACGCGCTCGGAGCGCGAAGATCTGGAGTCTGCTGTCGGTTCGCTCCAGTGGTTGTCCGGACACACACGCCCAGACCTGTCAGCCGCGGTTTCCCTTGTCCAGAGGACCGACCCCGAGCTGAACGACCTACGGATGGCCATGAAGCACGTAGAGTACGCGCACCGCACAGCCCAGACTGGCATCCTGATCGTCTGCGTCGATTTGAGCCGCGCCTGCTTCGTGAGTTTTGCAGACAGCTCATGGGCGAACGCTCCAGGATTGAAGACCCAGATCGGCACCCTCATCTTTCTGGCAGACGAGGTGATACTCACCGGACCCACGTCATGTACTCTCTTGTTTCACAAGTCCAAGAGAACGCCGAGAGTGGTGAGATCTACGCTGGCTGGGGAAGCTATCGCGCAGGACCTGGGAGTGGACTACGCGTCGTACTTGTCGAAGTTCCTGTCCGAGATGTTGACCGGACGGCCTGCTGGCCGACACCCACCGATCTTCGAGGTTATCACCGTTACCGACTGCAAGTCTCTGTACGATGCCCTCCACCAGCTCACCCCGAGTTTGTCTGAGAAACGTACTGTGATCGACGTGATTTCCATTCGTGACGAGGTGAAGGTCAAGAACGTCAGATGGATCCCTCCGACGCACATGATAGCCGACGGCATGACCAAGGAGGATCCGAAGCTTCGTGAGAATCTGACCAAGTTCCTGGCGGATCCAGTGCTGTCGCTCGTGGAGTCGATTGCTTGCGAGGAGCTGACCGGTGGGGATGGCCAAGTACAGAAGAAGTGATTTGACTTTTTACTTGCACGTGCCGGGAGTCGCGTTTCACTCCCATCCGCTTGGTTTCGCCCAAGATATTGCGAGTTTGACTTTTTACTTGCACGTGCCGGGAGTCGCGTTTCACTCCCATCCGCTTGGTTTCGCCCAAGATATTGCGAGTTTGATTTTTTACTTGCACGTGCCGGGAGTCGCGTTTCACTCCCATCCGCTTGGTTTCGCCCAAGATATTGCGAGTTTGATTTTTTTTACTTGTACGTGCCGGGAGTCGTGTTTCACTCCCATCCGCTTGGTTTTGCCCAAGATATTACCGATTCCGGATGCCGTATCGGGTTTCGGTTCATTGATTTCAGCTGCCGATCCTTGGCCGCTTAGAGAATTCAGTTACTTTTTTATTTCGTGCTAATCCAAGTCCGTGCTGCAAACAAACCCGTTGTATAGCCAGGCCGCATTCCGAGTTTCAGAGCAGGACCAGAGAGAACTCCAGGAGTGCAATAGTCATTCTGTTTATCTGATAATGCTGGTCCCTGCTATTGCTGTTGCATGCTCTCACCCCTCTGCCCGTAAACATATTGGCTGAGGGGGCCCCCTTTTGCCTACGCTACCAGCTAGCATAACTTATCATTTGCAGCGAGAAGGTCTTGGAATAAAAGATTCACGCATATTGTCAGCACGTGCGTGTGCGTTGCAGACTCCACAACGGCCAGCACCCGCTGGCCCGATTGCTTGCGACCGACTAGAACCCTAAGCGTGCGCGAAGCGCGCTCGTGGTTGTATATAATATGCCAGGGGGCTTGGGGCCTGGGGCCAGGGCCAGGGCACCCTCCCGGAATTCCCCCCCACCCCTCCCACCCCCCCCATACCCCCTCCTTTTTGGTCTACGACATTTTGACCCCGTCCGGGGCCTCCTGGGCCTCCGCTCCAGAGGCCACCACCAAACGACCAGAGCGGCCTGACAGGGCCGAAGACGCCCGAATATTGTTTCAAGACGGTTCTAGAGGTTCCGAAGACGTTTCCATCTTTTTTTTAATTATTTCTTTTTTTTTTTTTATTTCTATTTTTTTTTTTTTTTTCTTTTTTTTTTTAATTTTTTTTTGTTTTTTTTATTTTTTTTTTTTTTTTTTTTTTTTTTTTTTTTTTTTTTTTGTTTTTTTTGTTGCTTTTTTTATTTTTTTTTTTTTTTTTTTGTTTTTTTTGTGTGTAGGTCTTTTTTTTTTTTTATTTGTTTCTTTTTTTTTTTTTTGAGGTTTTTTTTTTGTTTTTTTTTTTTTTTCTTTTTTTTTTTTTTTTTTTTTGTCTTTTTTTTTTTTTTTTTATTTTTTTGTTTTTTTTCTTGTTTTTTGTTTTTTTTTTTTTTTTTTTTTTGTTTTATTTTTTTTTTTTTTTATTTTTTTTGCTTTAAGGAGGCTCCTGCGTCCCAAGAGAGCCCCAGGAGACAAAAGTTGTCCCATCCTTACGGCAAACACGCATTTTAGCATATTCGCATGTTGGGTCTCAACAGCGTCCAAACGGCTTAGAAGCTCCAAAGATCACCCCAAGACGGCCCAGGAGGCAAGAGGGCCCCAGGACGGCCCAAGAGAGCCCAAGACGGTCCAAGAGGCGCCCAAGAAGGCCCAATAGGGCCACAAGAGGGATCCAAGAGGGGGAACTCAAACTGACATTTCGAGCCTCCCGCTCCAAGTGGCAGACCCTCAAAAGGCCCCCAAGGGTTCAAAAAAGAGACCCCAAGAGGCCCCCAAGAGGCCCCAAGAAGCTTCAAAAGTCGCGCCACGAGGTGCCCGAGAGGCATGCCAACAGACAGGTGTCCGAGAATCCTCTGGCCCAAAACTCAGGCACAGTAGCGATATGGGCCGAAGGCTACAGATAAGCCAGCAATTGGCTTGGCGACGGATCCCTATGCAGTCATGTGTAGCGCGGGGCGCGGGTCTCTCTTCATACACTGCAAGCCGCGGGGCATCGCGGAAATGGAGCTGCTGCAGAGCACGCGTGCACGGGTTCGTTGAACTCTTTGTGGGGCACGGTCCGCGTGAAGGTATGCCGAGTAATGCGGATGCCCCCGAGCGCACACGCCCACTGAGGCCGCAGGTCGATCTCTTCTGGACTCGACCCGTGCGAGGCATGTTCCGAAATGAGCGGGGGGACGCCATGCGAAGCTGTCCATTGGTGCCATGGGTGGCTTCTTCTGGGGCGTGATTCGCGTGACGGGTGTGCCGGCATGTGTACGAACCTTATATTTGGGCCTTTAGGTGGTGGTGGTGGTGGTGGTGGTGGTGGTGGTGGTGGTGGTGGTGGTGGTGGTGGTGGTGGTGGTGGTGGTGGTGGTGGTGGTGGTGGTGGTGGTGGTGGTGGTGGTGGTCAAGCCAAGCCTCTATCTGGGGCCGTCGGTGGATCTCCCTGAGCTGCACGATCCGCGTGACACGATGTGTCCTCCGACGCCGAGCACTGTAGACTACAACCAGAGTTTGCTAGAACCCAAGCGCGCGCGAAGCGCGCGCGCGCGCGCGCGCGTGGTTCCAGCACATATATCTATGTATTTCAAAGAAGCCACAAATTGTGTGGCATTGGCGTTGGATCCAGCGCACGGGCAAGGACGGCGCAAGCCCCTAAATCATGTTGAAACAGTCAGCGAGAAAGGTCCACTTTGTGGGTTTGCCTGAGTCCATACAAGGGTGTACTTGTGCTGGACGGTGCGCGAGCGTGGTGCTGAGCACGGGACCAGAAACACAAGAACGGCACCGCAAGCGAACTCACAAAAATTGCAAAACGTCGCGTGGCATATCATCATATAATCCTCACTGTCCCCCTTCTGCTCTCCGTCCTCATCCTGCTCCTCCTCTTCTCCTCCTTCGACAGGTGGAAGAAGAAGAGGGGGCGAGAAAGGGTAGGGAATGGGTGGCCTCATCCTTCCTCCCTCTAGAGACTTCCAGGAAGCCTGGAGCCCTTCGAAGATTCCCCGAAGACCGCCGAACGCCACGTAGCATCCCCGAAACGACGACTACGATGACGACGGCGTCGATGTTGATGCTGCCGTTGACGTCGACGACGGCGTTTGGGCCGACGACGGCACCAGTTCCGACGACGGCACCAGTTCCGACGACGACGACGACGACGACGACGACGACGACGACGACGACGACGAGGCAGCCACCCTCTCAGCAGCCGTTCCGAAACGGGCCATCCAACGGCGCACCCGCGCTGTCGCCGCCCGCAAGCGCGTGCGGCGTGCGGCGGGGCGGCCACCGAGCCATGGCCAGCGCGGCGGCAGGCGCCGCCGCGCCCCGGCTCGCCGCGCCGGGTGCGCGCGCGGCCGCGGCGCTCGGCGCCGCAGCGGGCACCACGGCGCTCGGCGGCGCAGCGGCAGGCTGGGGGGCCCGCCGCGGCGACGGGCGCGCGCGGCCGCTGCCACGCGGGCGCCGGCGGCGCCGCGGCCGCGGCCTCGCAGGCGGTGCCGCTGGGCGCGGCGGCGGCGCGGTGCGAGGAGCGACGCGCCGCGGCGGGCGCGAAGAGTCGTCGTCGTCGTCGTGGTCGTCGAGAGTGTCGGTGGGCACGTCGTCGTGTGGGCGCGCGGGCTCTGCGCCGCCGCCGCGGCGTTGGGCGCTCGCACGACGGCGGCAAGGAGAGCGGCGGCGGTGATGGGCGGCAACGATCGACGTCGGCGACGGCGACAAGGAAGGGCTGCGGCGACCCCAGACCCCCTCGCGCTGTGAAAAACACGACGGGAGGTTCTTCCCTATTTTCGGCCTCCGGGGGCCCTCGCCGGGCCTCGGGACCGTCAAGAAACGACTCAGGATGAAAGGCCCGTCCCGGGGAAGGGGTCCAGACCTTCTTGGGGGTCGGCGATGTGGAAAAATTACGACGTCGGGGGTTTGGGGCGGCGGCGGACGGCGACGGACGACCCATGGCGGCGCACACGACCGGCGACAGCGGACGACGCCCACGACGGCAGCGGCGAACGGACGACGAGTTGGCACGTGCAGGCTCTGAGTGCTGCCCCGGGCACCCCGACCTGCGCGAGCCCCCCGGGGCCCCCGAGAGGAGAGGGGCCGCTTCGAGGTGTTCACGAAGGAGCAGTACCTGGAGAAGAAGAGGCCGGTTTCGACCACGTACGTCGAGGCGGCCGGCGGCATGCGTTACAGGGACCTGAAGATCGGCTCGGGCCCGGAGGCGCTGAGGGGCTTGCTCGTGGGAATCCACTTCGAGGGGCAGCGCCTCAACGGGCGGGTCATCGAGAGCTCCTGGAACCAGACGGCCATGCCGCTGTACATAGAGGCAGGCTCGGCTCGTAAGATGCGGTGCCGCCCTGGGCCCTGGCTCCCAGAGGTCCCCAGGGGGCCCCCAGAGTTCCCAGGAGGCCCCAGGGGCCCCAGGGGGCCCCCGGAAGCTTCCAGGCGTCTCAGCGGCCCTGGGCCGAACATTTCCCCGAGACGCCCACAAGAATCCACCATCGACGCTCGAGAGTCGAGAGCAAACCTTAGCGAGGCGGGCTGCAAGCCCAACCCCAGCCGAAACTGCTACTCCCTGGACCTCTCCCAGGGTGCATTCTGACCACGGTGTCGGGTTTCCTAGCAGACCCAGAAAGTCGAAAACAAGGAAAGGATATCTGAATCTGCATGTTTGCCCACAATTTGAGAATCTGCTCCAAATCGGTCCCTGGATCCCTCCTAGGGCCCATCCTGCTTAGTTTTCTTGCGCTGGACTGATGTTTAACAGCCCCAGGGTCCGAAAGCGGCTTCCAGACCCCGAAGGCCACGAAAAAGTTCGATATTCTGATTATCGGTCGTTGAAAGTAAGAATTTCTGGATCCCCAGACTCCACTGCACTTTAGGCGTATTCCTGTTCCAAGGATCGAGTGGTTTTGCTTCAAGGATCGAGTGGCTTTCCATTGCCCTTTCGTCTTCAAGGGGCGGGCGAAAACCCCATCTGCTCCCAACGCCCTCCTGCTTCATGGTGCTGACCACTTCTGCCGATCGGCGTGCAATCATGCCCTCCTCGGCGAGGACACTCTGCATCCACTGACGAGCGCTGGGGGCGTGCGCTGCCCCGCCGGCAGCTCCGAAAAGAGACCGCCCCCCCCCCCCCCCGGCGGGGCGAGACACGGCGCGCCGAGGAGGCGAGGTGGACCCCCGGGGGGGGGGGGCCTCGACAGCCACGCCGGCCTACAGCCGAACCAAGGTATAAGATCGAGGTCGGTTCGGGGAGGGTACCCTAGTGTTCTTCGTGTTTGTTGGATGCTCTTGTGCATCCTGGGGAGGGTACCCTTGGATGTTCTGTGTGGTTGGGCTGGCGGAGGGTCTCAAGTTCTTGAGGGATGTTCTTCTGTCCTAGGTCCGACCGTACCACAGATGTTCGTGCCAGGAAGCTCAGGAAGCCGAGACATGTCGATTGCTGAGTCCTCGTCCTCGTCCTCCTTCCCGCGCTCCACCCACCCACAAGCACCTGTCAAGCTCACGCACTGGTCCCAGCACGCGCCGCGGACCAGCCACCCATTCCATTGGCAAGGGCCCGGGGGGGGACCTCAGCGGCGGCCTGCTGACCCCCAGCAGACCGACCCCTTCCATGAAGAACCTCGGAGAAGAAAAAACGGCATAAGCACAATTTGTTTTGCGGTCCACGCGGCTTTCTTGGATCTGCACTGGGGTCCTGTGGCGGCGCCTTCGGAGCCGCCACGGGGGTCCAGCCCAGATTCAAGAAGTCCGCGTGGACCGCCAAAAGTTTATGCTTGTGCCGTTTTATGTTCCTCTCGACCCGCCCCGTCGCATCGTTCCAAGACGTGGCCAGAGGCGTCCCTCGTTTTCACCGTTGTGGGCCTCCTCGGAGGCCCTCGTCGCCACCGCTGGATTCGCCTCGAAAGCCTGGTCAGAACGCACCCCAGGAGAGGTCCGGGGAGTAGCGGTATCGGTACCTTTTGGTTTCCCCAGTATCATTGCCAGCATTTCCGCTTCTATCAGCCCGGCCTGTCTCACACTATTTTTGGTACGCTCACTCTCGGAGGCTGGGGGTGTCCGATCTCCGATCTCTTCTTCCTCCCCAAAAAATATCGATAAAAAAGAACGGAGTGGACACTCATGTTCCGAGGTCCAGGCGGATCTCATGCGTCGGCGCATCTGGCGCCGCCCCTTGCGCGCTCCGCGCACCAGGGAGGGATGCCCACGAGAGATACGCATGGACCTCCGAAAATGTGTGTTTGTGCCGTTCCTCCTGCTCCCTCCCTCTCTTGCATGGTGGCAGAATTTGCCCTAACGGCCCCCCCGTTTAGGCCGTCCCGCTAGCGCAGGCTCCCCTGGCCTCGCCGCCGACGCAAAAAGTGTCTGTGCCGCGTTCCCCGCCTTCTCTTTCTGCTAGTCTTCGGCGGCGCGCCGAGGAGGGAAGGGCTTCTCAGAACCGGGATGGGCCCCCTGCGGCTTCGGCGAAGGCGCAGAAGTCTTCCCAGCAGCCCAGGGGCCGTCGAGAGCCTTCTGAGGAAGGGCACTCGGCTCTCCGGCGGCCGTTCGGGACGATCCGGGCACCCCCAGGACGCCCTCGGCGAGGCACGGCTGCCCGAAACCATCCCGAGGCTGGAAGAAACCGCCGTGAGCCGACGAAAATCCCCCAAAGCCCTCGAGCCTCGAGTTCTCCGCGCTTCCCCCCGCGGGCGCGCCGCCGACATGAGCGCAGAAGCGCGGGGCACGTCTCCCTCCTCCGCGAGGCGGGCGGCACCCCCGAGTTCCCCGCCCTCGGCGAGGGCGTCGTCGGCATGCGCGAGGGCGGGCGCCGCGAGCTCATCGTGCCCCCGGGCATGAACCGCCCTGGGGTCGAGGACCCCCGCGGCCGTCGGGGCGCCGCCAGAGGGAAGGGGTTCGAGGTTCGAGATTTCCGGACGTTCTCGTCAATCTACATCGGGCTTCCAGCCTCGGGATGCACTCCAGCAGCTGCGCCTCGCCGAGGGCGTTCCGGTTGTGCCCTGAGCGTCCCGAATGAACGCTGGAGGCCCGATTTCTGGCACAACCATATTTCTTCGCGTTCTGACAAATCAAGACGGGCGGTTTCGCGCAACTCTCTGCCTCCAGGGGCCCTTACCAGGCTTGCCGCGCCCTTGGCGCCGTCAACAGAGGACTCAGGCTGAGAAGCTGGCACCTGGGAAGGAGTCTATACCGCTGGGGGTCCGCGCTGCGAAAGAAGACGCTACGTCGGAGATCTGGGAGGGGGGTCGGCGCCTCCTGGGGGTCGGGCATCGAGGAGGAGGGTGGGTCAAATGCCGAGGAGGCGCCTGGACTTCTGCGGGGGCTTCGGGGGGAGGGCCACGGGGGCGTCTACACCTTGCCGATCCTCACAGTGGCCCTGGCCATGCATGGTGGTGGCGTGTGGATGCCTTCTGCGCAGCTTGGGGCCCAGGGTCAGCAACCAAGCAGCTGTGGAATCATCAGCTCTTCGGAGGTCCGCCCAGATGTCTTGGGCCATCACCGGACTCCCTCCCACGGGATGTTGGGAGGTGGCCCGGCGCCGACCCCAGAGACCCGCGCGGACCTCCGAGCCATCATCCTGCCTCCGCCGCCCTGGGAACCGCCGATCTGGATTGGGCTGGGGGGCACGACGGTTCTCCTTTAGTGTCCCTGGGTCCCCATGGTCCCAGACGTCCGAGGTCTTCTCCCTGGAAGAGGGGGGACTGTAACGGCGGCTGCGGCGTAGAAACACAGCAGAATGCCTGCTCCTTGCAGACTCATGTGATGCCTACGAGCAGGACTACATGCACAGTAGTTCGCCAGGGATCCGGATAATTGTTCCTGGCCCCCTAGTGGCCAGGACGGATGTGCCCGAAAGCTTCTCCAGACCTGCGAGCCGCTGCCCCTGACCCAGGCCTAACGTCCAAGGTCGAGAGACAGATTCACGGCGCCGTGAGACTCGCAAGGACGCCCAGCCTCGAAGGACGCCCACCTCGACGCCCCACACGGACGCCCACCTCACCAGCACGCCCCACAGAGTCACGCGTGGGCCGCGAGCGACGCGGGCCCGCGACTGAGGAGATCCTCCTCCTCCTCCCCCCCTTCCTCCTCCTCCCCCTCCTCCTCCTCCTCCTCCTCCTCCTCCTCCTCCTACTCCTCCTCCTCGGCACGGGCCCAACGTGAACCACAAGATCTACGGGGAACGCCGCCCGTGTACTTCAACGAGCTCATGCACAAGCTGCTGCAGCTGGACGGCACGCTATCCAGGCCTCACGCCGTAACATGGCGGAGGATCTCTGCACACACGGTCGTGACAGGACTGGAATTTACCAGGCACCAAGCCGTGACAGGGCTGGTGACCATCACGCACCCAGTCGTGACAGGACTGGCGGATTTCATCAGAGACAAGCTGGGCTCAACCCTTCGAGTGCTACTACCACGAGCGTCGCATCACGAACCTCCCCACAGCAAGCCTACCTACGGGAATTACAACGCCAGCTGTACCGCGACTCTTTCCACAAGACCATTCATCATCGTCTCCGTGCTTGGTTCCCACTACTTCCTGTCGACAGCGGCTCTTCGATGGCGCCTTCTACATCCGAGCAAACGACTGAGAATGACGAGCACGACTCCATGAAGCACCTGAACGAACGCGCAGAAGCATGGGCAGCAAGATGGATCCCCAGCGTGTTCTTCGGCTGCGACATGGACAACTTCAACGACTGGATGGACTGGTGCGTCCCCTACGTCACAGCGGTTCTTCACCGCACCCAGTTCAATGCGCACTTCTGCCTCGATGACCAGTACGGGTCTGCCCGTGCTCGCCGTGACATGGCGACGGAGATATGTTACGGTGCGTGGCATCGAGCTGACCGTCCTCGCAACCACCGCTTGCAGATCTACACCACCGAGCACATGTCGTCCACCACCCATCGAGAATTTGCTGACGAAGCTGCTGAGCACCGTGCCCGTCGCCGCTGGATCGAACGCGAACGTGCCACCAACCCGAACCTCCCGCAGGAAGACGGCGACACTCAGTCTACAACTACGACCACCTCCACGCTTCCCATCCACTCCACCAGTGACATCATGATGGACACCGATACATCCGACCGTGACGGACTTCTTGGCCGCGCTGTTCCCCCCGCCAGTGTTGAACACGTCTGGCGCGATCTACATTCCCACCTGGCGAACTCCACGGCCTCGCTCTTCTGGCCTGCGGTCAAGACATTGTCAGGCGCATGGACGACCTCACACCGCATGCACGTCAACCCCCACAAGAAGAACTGCTTGTTCGGATGCGACAAGGACGTGCAGGCCAAGAACACCGACGACATCAGCCACTACATCTCGTGCCCTCGGATGCGGGCGCTCATGGCTCAACCGCGTGGGCAACCTGCTGGTGATGCCCTCACACGCCTGGGCCTCCACCAGAACGGCATCATCGACGATCACCCGAGGCACACCATCACTCGATTGGCCGTGGCCTACCGCAGCTACAACATCCTGCGGGCACGCTCGGAGCTCGGCATGCCCGCCAACCACAACGAGTACAACTACCACAAGGAGGTCGTTGCCGCCGCCCGCCGCGCCCTGAGGCTCCCCCGATGCCTCGTGGGCGGCGCGGGGCCGCTGCGACACTTAGCAACAGACGCGCGCGCTCCCCAGCGTGTCGTTTGCTCCTCCTCCTCCTCCTCCTCCTCCTCCTCCTCCCCCTCCTCTCTTCCTCCTCCTCCTCCTCCTACTCCTCCTCCTCTCCTCCTCCTCCTCCTCCTCCTCCTCCTCCTCCTCCTCCTCCTTCTCCTCCTACTCCTCCTCCTCTGGCACGGGCCCAACGTTTGCCCGTTCGAGGTTTTGTGTGCCGCGGCCAGGGCTCGCATGGCGATCGTGACTATTCCTGGGTACAGAAAGGTTTTCGACTTCCTGGTGCGCCAGACCGACACGCCCCAGTCTCGTGAACTCGATCAGCGTCGTCTTACCGGTCTTCCTGCTGGCCGTCGGTATCCCCCCCATTGGCGGTGCCCTTCCTTCGCCGAGATGCCTTATGAGGCGGAGCCCAGCGCTGACGGCACTCTTCTTGCCACCGCGGCTGCTGCTTGCCGAGCCGCTCTGTTCAAGCACCAGCGCGCGGCCAAGCTCGCGCGCCTGTCTTCCCTCCCCTCATCCGCTCTTGAAGTTCACTACCAGCAGCGTCTTCTGAAGTGGTGGCCTGAGCGTAGAGAGTGCATCATGAATGTCGATTGGGAGTCCATCCGTGCGGCCCTGCGGTCCGCCCCCCCTCCTGGGCCTGGACCTGGCACCGAACCATGTGTGGTGGTTGGCTCACGTCCCACAGGATTCTGAATGAGCGAGGGCGCCTAGGTTGTATTTTTGGCTGCGAGCATGAGCCCGATAGGCAATCTCACTATGCCTCGTGTCGCCGTCTCGCGCGGTCGATTTCGCCTGTGCTCCGCTACCGTCCTTTGTCGCCCGACCCTTTACAAAGATGGGGGATCCCGAGTTGCACCATCGCTGTCCTCGAAGAAGTTTATGTCGCTCACCATGTTTATCACTCTCTTCGTTCTTTGCCCCCCCGTGCCCTGCGCCCCCCCTCTACCAACCTCGACGCCGCGCGCGCTGCGCTGCGGGACCTGCGGCTGAACGTGGCCCAGGGCACCGTGCACAGCCAGGCCTAGTGGGGGGGGGGACGTGGACGATGTTACGCTGGCCTCCTCCTCCTCCTCCCCTCCTCCTCCTCCCCCTCCTCCTCCTCCTCCTCCTCCTCCTCCTCCTCCTCCTCATCCGCCTCCGCCTCTTCCTTTTCCTCCTCCTCCCCCATCCCCCCCCCTCCCTGAGGGGACCGCCCCTATGAGGCCCACGCGCCGCGAGATAACATCGCGACGGTCGGCCTCTCCCGACGGCCTCCACCCCTGGAGGCCGCCCCACGGCACCCCGGGGCCGGCAGCCCAGAAAAGGTCCTTGGGAGGCGGCCGCGCCCGCGCGCGTGACCCCGACCTTGCGCGGGGCTTTTCGGGCCCGCGGGCGGCCGCAGAGCCGCGCGCAGAAGCCTCGCGCCAGACGGCGCGTGATCAGGGCACAGAATCGGGGAAGCGCAAGACTCGAGTGAGCTGGAACTCGGGTTTGCCGTCTTTTTTTTGACGAGCGCGTCCTGGGTTTTGACTGCCCAGTGTTCGTTGGATGTTTGCAGCGTGAGCTCGCGTCAATTTCCAGATTGGGTCTCGTCATTTTTATAATGGCCCCGTCAGGCCAACCCGAGTCCCCCGTACCCGAGTCCTCCGTCTCCCCGACGAAAAAAAAGGTCCTAGCCCAAAGATCAGCATCTTTTAACCGACCACTATCCCTACCCCCATCCCTATCCAGACCCCCGCTCAGCACCCGAGTTGGTGGTAGACCCTTCGAAAACCGCAGGAAACGGCCTATATCCCCATCTAGGGGGGTGAATTGGCCAGTGGGGCCCAGGCCACGCCCATGGGGATTGGGGCCAGGGGTCGGTCAAACGATGTTCCAAAAAAAAGGTCCCGCGAGGGGAGGACGCTAAGGGAGCGCCGCTCACTTGCAGGTGCAATCCTCGAACAATTCTTCGTATGAGCTCCACTCGCAGCGAGAGTCGGCGGCTCGATGCTATCCACGTAGCCTTGCATGTGCGGCGTACCGCCGCAGTTCGAACCCCCTCGGGCACGACATGGAAACCAAGCAGGGTCCACCTCGATCCGACCGATCCGGTTCGGTATCAGTTTCCCCCAACCCGGTCCGAGTCGTTTCAACCGACGACAATCCGATGATCCGGTGCGGCCCAATGTTTGCACGGCGCTGTGGTGCATCCTGGCTCGAGGAGGAGGAGGAGGAGGAGGAGGAGGAGGAGGAGGAGGAGGAGGAG